AGATTGGCTCCCCGTCAGGTCCCAGCCATGCTGTGCGTGCTGCAAGCTGAGGCTTTGAGGGGAAAATAACACATCCCCTGATAATAAGCCCTCAGGTGTCTTCTTGAGGAAAAATAAACATAAGACCCTGTCTTATTTTCAGGGAAACATGGTACTATGAGGTTGCTCATTTAGTGTTCAAAGCTAGCTGGCTGGCTAGAATTTCCTTTGAAAGGACTCAAGCTTTTTCCTTTATTTCCATGCTTGGGGGGGAGCGCCCAGCAGGCCCCTGAGAGGGGTCCCTATTCCCTCTCAGAACAGAGTTGCCCAGTGCCCATTGGTCTCTCATATGCCCTGATGCTGTCTCTATGGAGTTCAATGTACTGCAATGGCCAGGATCATATGGTTTCATATGTTCATTGCTTTGACGATTATTTGTTCATTTATTCAATATATATTTAGCACCAGTTTTTCTAGTGGTTGCCAACATCATATTCTGAATAATAAACTTTTGCTTCTTTTTTTAAAAAATCATTTTTTCACAGTATTTATTATATTTCCAATGTGGCAGAATTGGTGCTATGGAATGAATTATGAGCCCCCAAAATTCACATGTTGAAATCCTAACCCCTAATGCGACTGAATTTGGAGATAGAGCCTTTAGGTAGTAACTCAGGTTAAATGGGGCCCTAAGCCATGTGAACTAAAATGCTCACCCCCCTCCCAACCGGCTGACTAAATAGACCCTCTTGTGGCCAAAGGAATATTCTAGGGCAAAGTTGCCTGCCAGGAGGAGGGAGGTCAGACATGCCTTACCATGCCCCCTCCCTTCTTGGAGACTTCCTTTGTAACCCATTAACAGGCCTAAAGGGTATGCAAGACAAACCTGCAGGTCCTGAATTTATGCAACAGTGGCTTATATCTGGTAACCAGTTTATGTTAAAACATTCCAGGTCTTTAGACAAAGCTTCATGTCTTTAGTCAATTACAATATAAAGAATCTTTAAACCCACCTATAACCTGTAAGCCCCCCCCCCCAGCTTCGAGATGGCCCTCCTTTTTGGGCCAAACCAATGTATGCCTCCCACATATTGATTGATGGCTTTACCCGTAACCCTTGTCTCTAAAATGTATAAAAACCAAACTGTAACCCAGCCACAGTGAGTCCATTTGCCCAAGGCCTCTTGGCAGTGGCTCCGGGTCATGGTCCTTAAATTTGGTTCAGAATAAATCTCTTTAAAATTATTTTGCAGACTTTGGCTTTTTTTCTGTTGACAGCCAATAGAGCTGATGCCTTATAAGAAAGGGAAGAGAGATTAGCGAGCTCTTTCTTCACCACCTACAGACACAGTGAGAAGGCAGCAGGAAGAGACTCCTCACCAGGAAACAAATCTGCTTGCACCCTAGTTGTGGACTTCCAGCTTCCAGAACTGTGAGGAATAAATGTCTACTAAGCCCTCCAGTCTGTGCATTTGTTACGGCCTGAGCTAAGACAGTTGGGAAGACATGTGCACAAGATGCTTGCTAGGCAGTAGAAGCCAACTGCAGAAGACTCCAAATGGGAGAACAGTAAGTAGTTTCCTAAATCCTAAGCATAGGCATCCAGGCAGCATGGGACAGACGTAGTACAGAAAAATTAGATGGGACAGGAGAGTAACAGGGCTTGGATGACATGTTAAATAGTCTGAATTTTTATCTTGCATTAATAGGTCTGATGCAGAGGAGAGATATTACCAGAGCCAATGTTTTAAAGAAATCCTTCTAGCAACTGTTAGGTTTATTCTAGGTGGGAACCCCAAAAGCATGTATAGGACAGAATGTGGCTAATGCAAAACTGAGGCTGTACAACAGCCGCAGGGGTCTGGGGAGTCCGGGCTTTGTAGACCTGGCAGACAGAGGCAGCCAGCACTCCTCCCCCCCTCCCTGGTGGAGACCAAGCGGTCCCTCCCCAGCTCTCTTGATAAGGATGATGCCAGAGCAGAAGGATGGATGTGACTGGGCAAAGCGGTGGTAGGAGTTGGTCATTTGAAGAAGAATTTACTACAAACAGCTGTTCTGCCCACCATCCTCTGCCATATGCGAACTGCTCGTAGCAGAAAGCAATTCTTCACCTGCTAGTTCGGCCCAGAAACAAAGCACAGGGCAGGTGGGAGGGGCTCGGCTGTCCCGTTTATAAAAACACTCACTGCCGGGCGTGGTGGCTCACGCCTGTAATCCTAGCACTTTGGGAGGCCGAGGCGGGTGGATTGCTTAAGGTCAGGAGTTTGAAACCAGCCTGAGCGAGACCCCGTCTCTACCAAAAATAGAAATAAATTAATTGACCAACTAAAAATATATATACAAAAAGTTAGCCGGGCATGGTGGCACATGCCTGTAGTCCCAGCTACTCGGGAAGCTGAGGCAGTAGGATCGCTGAGCCCCGGAGATTGAGGTTGCTGTGAGCCAGACTGACGCCACGGCACTCACTCTAGCCTGGGCAACAAAGTGAGACTCTGTCTCAAAAAAAAAAAACAAAAAAAAAACACTCACTAAACCTCCTTCTGTGCTGACTCTTTTCGGACTCAGCCCACCTGCACCTGGGTGAATGTGGGAGCAAACCAGCCGCGCTGCTCCGACACAGCCTGTATGTTAAACGTTTCCTTTGGGTGATTCACCCTTTTAGCAACTAAATGGGAAGGGAACAAAACTGGAGCTAGAGACTGGTTGCACTAGTCAAGGCAACCAAACAGAGGGGATGGAGAAGATGGGATAGGTGTATAAGCTATGGAGGAGGCAGAACCAGTGGAACTTGGGGACTGATTGGATACAAGGAAGAAAGGAGTGATACCTTGGTTGACATCCAGTCTTCAAGGTTCATAAATGTATATTATGAATTCGTTACTAAAAATCCCCCTTTTATCCTCTGTATGTTAGAGCTGGCAGGGTTGGCTGTAGAATTTCCACTTTTAGAGTTCCTGTTGGTAGGCTTCAGCTTGACCTGTTTATGGCTCCATCCTAGGTACCCATCTCTTTCATGATGACCATAGCCAGGAGGAAACTATTCCCCATTTTTGTGTTTTTCGAAAGACCAAGTAGAAGACAGAATTTAGCATCTGGAAGCTGCTGTCAATTGAAACACTCTCTGAATATCTTTTTTCTTAGAAAATTTCCAGCACCTTATTAAAGGGTTTGGAAGGAAGAGCAGGCTCCTTGAACACTTTTTCTTGGACATATCTGCCCACATCTTTGTAAAGATAATTAACTCTCTTCCACTTCCCTTTTTGAGTATACTATCTTTTTCCTGTCCAAATTCTTTTTTTTGGTTTTTGAGACAGAGTCTGACTTTGTTGCCCAGGCTAGAGTGAGTGCCGTGGTGTCAGCCTAGCTCACAGCAACCTCAAACTCCTGGCTCAAGCGATCCTCCTGCCTCAGCCTCCCAAGTAGCTGGGACTACAGGCACACATCACCATGCTTGGCTAATTTTTTTTTGTATATATATTTTTTAATTGGTCAATTAATTTCTTTCTATTTTTAGTAGAGACGGGGTCTTGCTCAGGCTGGTTTTGAACTCCTGACCTTGAGCGATCTGCCGGCCTCTGCCTCCCAGAGTGTTAGGATTACGGGCGTGAGCCTCCGTGGCTGGCCTCCTGTCCAAATTCTGATTGACATATAAAGGGTCTCCAAAAGACTATACTTTAAAAAGGGAACCTTATTCTCAAAATGGTTAAGAACCACTAACTGCTTTCATGTTGAAGCATTAAAACGAATATCCTATCAACTGCCTATTATCTCTCTCTTTTTTTTTTTTTTAATTTTGAGACGGGGTCTCGCTGTGCTCAGGCTGGTGTCAAACCCCTGAGCTGTAGCAATCCTCCCAGAAAGCTAGCATTACAGGCATGAGCCACCCCACCCAGCCTATTCTCAATACTTTTTTTTTTTGAGACAGAGTCTCACTTTGTTGCCCAGGCTAGAGTGCCACGGGGTCAGCCTAGCTCACAGCAACCTCAAACTCCTGAGCTCGAATGATCCTCCTTCCTCAGCCTCCTGAGTAGCTGGGACTACAGGCATGTACCACCATGCCTGGCTAATTTTTTCTATATATTTTTAGTTGGCCAATTAATTTCTTTCTGTTATAGCAGAGAGGGAGTCTTGCTCTTGCTCAGGCTGGTTTGAACTACTGATCTTGAGCAATCTGCCTACCTCGGCCTCCCAGAGTGCTAGGATTACAGTTGTGAGCCACAGCGCCTGGAACTATTCTCAATACTTTATTCAAGAGATTCTTAGAATTCTTTTTCATTTTTTAAAAAACAAGTTAAGTCTTTATGTGGGATGCCCCAACACAGGTTGGAGCTGCTGCCAGGAGTGACAGGATGTTATCACTGAGCATTACCTGATTCCCTTTCCAACCCTTCTCCTACTGTCCAGCTTCAGGCTTAAAAATGAGGAAGGCACTTCCCTAGGCAGACTTGGTGACTACCCGAAGTCACTCCACTCCCAGAGGACTTTCTGCCTCAGGGCCCTGGAACAAGCCACCCTACACTCACCCTCTCCCAGCGCTGGAATCCCTGCGTTGAGAAGTTCTCTCTGCTTTTGCTCCATTTTGTACAGCCACCACTGATCTCTGGTGGCTGTTTTCCTCAGGCGAAACTCAACTTCCTACCTTTGTTCTGAACCCATGCATGAACATCTTATTTCTTCAAACGCTGCAAGCTAAAATTCTTGCCTACCTGCGAGATCTGCAGAGTCATGTTAAATGACTGACTTAATGCAATCAAGACATTTATGCAGGCCCACTACGTACACACACTACCCCAGCCCAGGTGTGTGACACAGGTGGACAGGAACAGATATAAATAAGACCTCTCCCTAGTTCTCAAGTGTTCATTGACACGCCAACCAATAAGAAAAATGACAACGCCCACTGGGCCTGGCTGGCGACCAGAAAGTGAGGCTTGCTCCCTTCCCCAAGCTGACTTTTTCTTTAGGATTCATGGTTAACTGCAAGCATTTACCTTCACACCTCTCTCTCTCTGGAAATATCTCTTTTAATTTTTATAACTGCCTCACTAGCGAGGTATTTCTCACCAGAGGTGAAGTGCCAGCCCCAAGCCACCCAGTTGGCCAGCGGCGGCGACCACATTTCTGCCGCCTAGCACGCAGGTGCAAAGGCCAGGCTGCGCTCAGTGCCTCAAACCACGTGGCCGCGCCTGTGCATAACAACACACAGACAGCCCGGCGCATGCGCCGGCCTCATCGCGCAAGCCGGAGCCTGCGTCGCTGTTGGGGGCGGTGCCAGCCTAGGGCGCATGCGCCAAGGCTAGTGAGGCCGGCTTCCACGGTGGCTGGCGGCAGCCGCGGCGTCTCTGCTTCCGTGTGGCGGCCGCGCGGCCCTGTGGTGAGTGTTCGGCCGGCTAGGCTGAATGTCAGGCGGTGGGTGTCTGGACCCGGCTCAGGCTCCCCGAGAGGCTGCGGCCCGCGTCCTGGCCTCCGGCCGCAGTGATGGAGTCTCTCCGCGCGGGCGGCGGGGAGCCGGTCGTGGGGCTGGGAGCGCGACTTCCGGCCGGCTTACCTGCGACCGGAAGTGATGCGGGGGCGCGCGCTCACCTAGGGCGGCCGGAGCCTGCTGCTGTGGCCCTGGCCAAGTGGGCTAGGGACGAAACGTCAAATTCCCAGACTTGTATAAGGCTCCCGCGCGCAGCGTCGGCCGGGCCCAGTTTATTTTGGTTAAAATACTGGAGTTGTTATTTGAAAGAGAGTTTCCGGATAAATATATGTCCGTCACTTTGGGCGTTGATGTAGTCAGGTTCGATGGACAGTATGTGCAGGCTTGAGCAGTCCGCTTGGCAATGCTGTCCCATGATTGCCCACATAGCGTAGTGTCCTTCTTCATTGCTGGCATCCTGTTCCAAGCTGCCATCATTTTTCTACTGAACGTTTTCCATCATCTCACTGCTCCCTCCAATCCGTTATCCATACAGTAGTCCAAGTAGTGTTTTACAAACAAATTGAGTCATGGCATCATCACCCTACTTAAAACTCTTAAAAGTCATTCTGTTGCACTTGGAGTAAAATCCATGCTCATGTTTTCCCAGGCCTTATGTGATCTTGCCCTTGCCAGCCCCTTCTCAGAACTGTGTATGTGTAGGACCAACCCTTCAAACCAGGATCCACCTGGCCCCTGGCCACTGAATCCCCCAAGTGCTCAAGGGGGAGGACAAGGAAGATACTATTTTGCCACATGATTAAGCCTTGTAGTGTATTAGAAGATACCCTGTGAGATTTATACAATGGAGTTCTCACTGGATCTTTTTAACTCTAAAATAAAGTAAAAAATTCTTGGCCGGGCGCGGTGGCTCACGCCTGTAATCCTAGCACTCTGGGAGGCCGAGGCGGGCGGATTGCTCGAGGTTGGGAGTTCGAAACCATCCTGAGCGAGACCCCGTCTCTACTAAAAATAGAAAGAAATTAATTGACCAACTAAAAATATATATACAAAAAATTAGCCGGGCATGGTGGCACATGCCTGTAGTCCCAGCTACTTGGGAGGCTGAGGCAGGAGGATCGCTTGAGCCCAGGAGTTTGAGGTTGCTGTGAGCTAGGCTGACGCCACGGCACTCACTCTAGCCTGGGCAACAAAAGTGAGACTCTGTCTCAAAAGAAAAAAAAAAGTAAAAAATTCTCACTGTTCCAGCCTTCCATTTCCCCAAATGCATCAGGTTGTCCCAGCCTTAGAAATTATAGGTTTCATTGCAACATATTTGTTCCACTTTTGGCCTGATTAACTCTTGGCTCAGATGTCACTATCAGAGAGGCCTCACTGACCTCCCACCTACCTCCTTAATTTCAGTTAGGTTTCTCTCATTTTGTTGGAAAGAGTCTTGTAGTTTCCTCATATAGCAGTCATCACAAGTTTTTTTGTGTGTGTGGGTGTGTGTATATGTATTACTTTTTTTAAATGTTTGTCTTCCCCAAAGACTCTAAGCTCTATGGGGATAGGAATTAGTTAACCTAGTACATTGCTTAGTGTAATTGACTTTTACTATTTGTTGAATATGACTTATTTTACTTCTGAAACTCTTCTTTAACCTTCTGATAGAAGCCTTCTGGTTTCCAACTCTCACTTCTGGCAGGCTTGCTGTTCTGGCCACAGCCAGGCTCTTAAGTGCCTTCCTGACCCTTTTATCCCATTTCCAGCCCCCTTTTGGTGCTTTTTTTTTTAAAAAAAAAAACAAAAACCTACCCAGTGTGGACCCCAAGGCCAGTTACTTCAATGGCTTTCTCCTTAGCATCTTGACTCAGTGACCCCGTTCTACCACTTCTCTGAAAACCCCCAATGATGACATATCCCCCGGGAAGTTACAGGAGGAGGAAATTAGCCTTGGGATTGTTGTGAATCCATGGTTTGGGGGGGGCCAACCTCAGGTTGGTCCTTCATACCCATCATCAGTGTTTGTTCCCCATCAACAACTCCTTTTTGTCTTCTACAGGACATTTATTCCAGACTCCTCACTCTCCTCTGGCCTGTATCCTAACTTTGTCCTCTGACCAGGAGTTTTCCAAACTTCCTACCTTATGTTTTCACTATAGTCCACTTCAGCTTCCCTCCTCTGCATTTACAGATTTAGGTCCATCAAGAGTCATCCTGCTAGAGTGAGAGAAATATGTGTTGTACCTTCTGTTCATTTCTGCTCTTGACCTTTCCCTGCTGCAGTGTTGTCTTGTGCAACTTTCTGTGTAGTTTATTTTCCTCCTCTCCCTCTAGCCATTATGTTCCCTAGTTTTTCTTGCCCTAGTTTTTCTCTCCCCACTCTCATCTCATTATTACTTTATCACTCTGGCTGTCTCCTTCCACAGCCAAGCTCCTTAAAGGATAGGCTACTCCCTTGTGGCTATTTGCTCATACACTCATTTGCTCATTTCATAACCCACTACGGTCTGGGTTTCGTCCCTGTTGCTCCACCTAAACAAAACTTCTAAGATAACCAGTGACCTGTTGGTGTCCAAATTCACTGGACCCTTTCTGATTTCCTCATGTGAACTTGCTATATCACCTACTGTTAACCATTCTTTCTTCCTTCTTTATTGTTACCAGAAATTTTCCCCAAGCTTCATTCTTTTTAACCTTTTCTGTACTACAATACTGTTACTTAATATTTTTGGTTGAATTGACATGTTTTTTTTTTTCTTAACTTAAAAACAAATCCCTGTATGCATACAAATAGGAAAATGAAAACATTTCCAGCTAATGCAGAAGCTCTTAGCCAGAAAGGGAGCTGAGCACCAAGCTGAGCTTTTCTCTTGAAAAAAGTCAGAGGGCCCAAAGAGGAAGAACTTTCTCACTTGTGTTGTTCACTTTTAAACTTCTCAGTGTTAGCCTCTTCATACCCTCTAAAATGATCTCTGGTACCTGGTGGCCTTGGGAACTCGGGAGCTGCTTGCTCTGTGGATGTAGCCACATGTGCCCATACTTACCTTGAGCTCAGATTGCATTTCTGTCTGCATGCTGCCCAGGGCACTGGCAACGTAAGTACCTCTCCCTGCTTCCCATCGCCTGCCTTTTTGAGAGCCTTGTTTTTGAGACTGAATTCACTGGTGACTCAGCTGTCCAGTCCAAACTTTTTATTATTTTAGACTCCTCTCTGAGCCTTACTTTCAGCAGATATTAAGCACCTCTGTGTATCAGACTGTGAGCCAGGTATTCAAATCTTAATTCCTACATGATGTTTCTTGGGCCCTAGACACAATGTATTGTTGCCTCCTCTGTGTTCATGTGGCCTCTTGTCCATGTCACCACTGGCTGACCGGCCCTGGTGTGTTGCTAGTGACACACTTCTCCAGTAGAGAGGGAGTCTCTGGGGGCAGTTAATGTTCAATTCTTTGATTCCCAGTGCTGTGCTGGTGAGATTGTTTTATTTGATGAGGAAGGAGAGAGGCTCGTTGGGGGAACTTGTGGCCATTTCATAGAAATAAAGCTTCTGCGTTGAAAGATACCTTAGTTTCTTCACAGTTAATTAAAAAGCAAGGCTGACTCCTGTTTATTGTGTTGCTTTTTAATGTATTTATTAGATGTTATAGTTATGTGGGTAATATAGTGAAAATTTTCTCCTTCAAGCATCAGTTCCTGTGTAGAGTAAAATGTGAAATTTCCCTTTCTCCTTCCCCCTCCCAACTGTTGCAGGTTTGGTATGTATCCTTCCAGATCTTTTTGTGTTCATTCCATACACACAGATGGGGATACACTGTTCTTTCAACATAAATGTGTTCATCCTATGTCCATGACTTTTTTCACTTAACAAGGTTTTTTATATCAGTAGCATGGAAAATACTTAATGACTACATTAAACTACTAAAGACATACTGCAGTAAGCCTCCTCGTATATACATGTTAGTATTTCTCTGGAATAAATATCTAGAACTAGAATTTCTGGGCAAAGATCAGGTGCATTTAAAATTTTGTTAGATATTGCTAAATTGTCCCCCAAAAGGGCTTTACTAATTTATTTCCACCAACAATGTATGAGTGCAGCTCCTCCTCTTCCTTGCCAGTATTGGATATTACCAAACTTTACATTCTTGCCAACCTGATGGGTGAGAAATTATATTGTGAATTGAAAGAGAGTTATTTTTGAGAACATTTTAATTAATCTTTCTGAGTTTCAGATTTGTTCAGAGTTCCTTTTTACTGGATTGATATTCAGCCTAGAAGTTTCTAGTCTCTGATTCATACAGAGCTACTTCCTCACATCCCTGATTCTATACATTACAGTTGATCATGCTACTATGATAAAAATTGTGCCATAATGAAATGAAGATGCTAATTCGGAAAATGGCAGCCAAATGACTTCAGCTGTTTTGGAGAACATTCATGGGCATCACTCAAGATTTTGGTTGCCGCCTTTCTTAGCTGGTTACCCAAATGTTCTTTGTTGATGATACTCCATTTCTTCCTTTTTTGGTTAATTTTTCTTAGTTATTCTCAGAACTCAGTAAGATACATAGTTTGTGCCCTTTTAAGAAGTTAGTATTTGGAAACTTGAATTCATTTAATTGGAAGGATGTTGATCTTTTAAGAAATCAGTCTTGGCCGGGCGCGGTGGCTCACGCCTGTAATCCTACCACTCTGGGAGGCCGAGGTGGGAGGATCACTCAAGCTCAGGAGTTCGAAACCAGCCTGAGCAAGAGCGAGACCCCATCTCTACTATAAATAGAAATGAATTGGCCAACTAATATATATAGAAAAAATTAGCTGGGCATGGTGGCGCATACCTGTAGTCCCAGCTACTCAGGAGGCTGAGGCAGGAGGATCGCTTGAGCCCAGGAGTTTGAGGTTGCTGTGAGCTAGGCTGATGCCACGGTACTCACTCTAGCCTGGGCAACAAAGCGAGACTCTGTCTCAAAAAAAAAAATCAGTCTACTTTAATTATAAAATATTTAAGAAACTGTATATGATCAATTCTGTATAACCAGTTGATAATCCGGCATATGAATGTTTTTTTTTCCTTTTAGATAGTCTGTAGAGGATGCCAAATGAGAGAATCCCCTACTCAAGTCAAACTCAGGAGCAAGATTGTTTACAAAGTCAACATGTCAATAATAATGAAGAAATGGCAGTCAAACAAGAAATTGATGGTGATGTGGAAGTGGAGGAATGCCTCTACTCTCGCTCCCCTGAGGAAGGGCCATCCACCTCTGCTGAGGGGTGTGCATCAGCAGCTCCAAGGAGGGGGCAGGCCCTGCTGCACATAGACAGACATCAGATCCAGGCTGTGGAGCCTAGTGCGCAGGCCCCTGAACTGCTGGGTTTGGGTGTGGATGTCTATGACCAGGATGTGCTAGAGCAGTGTGTGCTTCAGCAGGTGGACAATGCAATCCATGAGGCCAGCCGTGTGGCCCAGCTCGCTGATGCAGAGAAGGAGTATCGGTCAGTCGTGGATGACCTCACGTGAGTTTGGCCCATCTTCAGAATTTGTATTTAAATGTGACAGGGAAATTCAGGTAATAAAGAGCTCCAGTATTCCTGAAAGTTTGGAGGACAAGGTCAGTAAGTGCAGGCCTCATCGTGAGGCCCTAGCTGTTGTCCTCAGGAGCAGCATTATCCACAGAAGTCAGCTCACAAAAGCCTGTTTCTTGCATAATGTCCTAGAGAGAGGGCTATTCTAAGTGCTCTAGGACTCACCAGTATGTGCACAATCTTGTCTCAGGAGAAGTGCACCTATAGCTCAGGTGTTTCTTGCTCATTATACCAGGAATGCATCCTGCCCCCTCACGTTTTTGTCTGTAGTTTCTTTCCAGCTTGTCCCCAAACCAAGTGTTCAGTCCTTGGCAATTTTTCAGATTTGCACTTCTGGAAATAATGAGAAAGAGCTCCCTGGTTTTCCTTTCTTCTGTCCTACTTTTGACTCTATAAGGAAATATGAAGTCCTGTGGAGACTTCATTTGTGTTTTAGAGGCAAGATGGACTTGAGCTGTTTTGAGCATAGCACATTGGTGGGAAAGGGGGAAGGTGCTGGACCTGGGCCAAGGTTGGTGGAGCAAAAGGGAGGGTAGAGGAGGGGGGCGAGGGAGGGAGGGTTGAGCTCACTCATCATTGCTAATCTGCCCCCCATCAGGCAGTATTCTAGGCAGTGTCAGGCAAGTGAGAAAGAGAAGGTGAGAACTGGACTGAGTGGAGGGTTGGAGCAGTGTCACAGGGGCTGCTGGGAAGGCTGGAGGCTGTTGGCACTTAGAGAACATGTTGTCTGTTAACAGTTCCCTGTTGTGTTCTTTTGGCCTCTTGAGTAGCTGGTGCTTTTGCATAGTTGCAGTCTGACCTTGAGTGTTGAGGACCTCAACTTGTAATAACATACCTTTTACATTTGAACGTAGAGATGGGGCTACTTCCTACAGAGTTGACAGAGGAGAGTGCTGTGGAGTCTCCAGGCACTCAGGAGGATGCCACTGGATGGCTGGTAGTACATGGTGCCTTTGATGGCTAGTAACTTGCATTGCTTATCCTGAAAGCCACAAAGGATACAAACAGCAAATTACACAAGTTTCAAGAATATTGAATTTGTGTTCTGAAAATTGAAAGCTATAATTCTATGGTGTCTGTTTTAGGAGTAATTTATTTTAAATTGATTCTTTTTTCTTTGTAGCACAAAGTTTTTTTTTTTTTTTTTTTTGGACAGAGTCTCACTTTGTTGCCCAGGCTAGAGTGAGTGCCATGGCGGCAGCCTAGCTCACAGCAACCTCAGACTCCTGGGCTCAAGCGATCCTACTGCCTCAGCCTCCCGAGTAGCTGGGACTACAGGCATGCGCCACCATGCCCGGTAATTTTTTCTGTATTATTAGTTGCCAATTAATTTTCTTTTATTTATAGTAGAGACGGGGCTCGCTCTTGTCAGGTCTGGTTTGAACTCCTGACCTCGAGCAATCCACCCGCTCGGCCTCCCAGAGTGCTAGGATTACAGGCGTGAGCCACCGCGCCCGGCCCTAGCACAAAGTTTAATGCTACAGTAAATGGATCTTCCAGTTCTATGAAAGAAAACTATTGTTACAGATACATGATTTTTATAAGAAAATGCTTAAGCATTTTTAAGACTTTTGGAAACTTTGGAAGGCTTCCATAATAGGCTTTAAAAACCCATGTACAGGCCGGGTGCGGTGGCTCACGCCTGTAATCCTAGCACTCTGGGAGGCCGAGGCGGGTGGATTGCTCAGGTCAGGAGTTCGAAACCGCCCTGGAGCAAGAGCGAAGACCCATCTCTACTGTAAATGAAATTAATTGGCCAGACGTAGGGGTAGCCGGCTATATAGAAATAATTGTAGCGGGCAATAGGTGGTGATGGGCGCTGTCAGTTGCTAACTACTGAGCTGAGCAGCGAGGATACGGCTCGTGCCCGATTAGGTTGCTGTGAGCTAGGCTGACACCATGGCACTCTAGCCCGGGCAACAGAGTGAGACACTGTCTCAAAAAAAGAAAAAAAAATGTTGAATAAGTGACTCTGCTTACAAATGAGAATGAGCTGATTTAAATCAGCCAGATTAAAAAAAAACCACTAGCAGCCATTTCAAACCTCTATTGATACTTCAAATTCTATTTGTGGCTGGTAAGCATGTGCTTTCTGGTTTAGTTTCTTTTAGTTAATAAGTAAAAGGGACATGTTTTTAGCATTTCTGTCTATGTTATGCTATTAAAATGTTACCAGAGTTGAAAAATAGATAATTTGTCTTGTTTTTCAGGTCATGTATGTCATCCCTAAGGCAAATCAATAAAATTATTGAACAACTTAGCCCTCAAGCTGCCATCAACAGAGACATCAACAGGAAACTAGATTCTGTAAAACGACAGAAGTATAATAAGGTGATTCAAAATGACATGTAAATATTGCATTTTTGTAAAAGTCATCATTTAGGCCCATTTAATAATTTAGGAAGTATTATAAAAAGTACATATAAGATATGAAGCAAATATTTATAATTACAATAGAGAAATTTTGGGTTGTTTTTGTATGTTTAATCTTTCAGCTGTTTTCCTTTAATGTCTTCTGTTATACAACATTTTTAACAACACACAGATATGTGGACACACACATCCATTCATCCATTCATTGATACATGCATTCATATGTATACAGATGCTTCTCAACTTATGGTGGTGCTATGTCTTGATAGATGCATCATAAGTTGAAAACACTGTAAGTCGAAGATGCATTTAATACCCTGAGAAGCCCATCTTAAAGTAAAAAATTGTAAGTGAAATCATTAAGTCCAGAAGTTCCTCAGTATATGACGGGGTTGTGTCCTGCTAAATCCATTATAAAGCAGCAGAATCACAAACCATTGTAAGGTGGGGACTGTCTGTATATTTGAGAATAAGTTCTTTTTGGTATTGCTTACCTCCTCACTTGTGTGCACTACATAGTCATTCTTGCTTCACCATTTCTTTCACCTAGCTCCTGTTGGGCATGCTGGCCTCTCACTCAGTCTGCTGGTCTTATGTGAACTCTTTTCTGCTCAGCCCCTGCTTGCTGTAGTTGTTTCCACTCTGTTTCCTGCTGATGCAGCCATCACCCCACACACTCCTGCTCACTGTTCGGAGAGGCTGGCCCTTCCCGCTTGATGTTACAGTCAGTACCTGGATGCACTGGGGCTGTGCTTAGGGTTGGAGAACTTAAGGGTAGGGAACATCTCTTACTTAGGATGTTATTTTTATGAGGTTCGAAACATTTTTTAGAACTTTTGTACAGCTTTGTGAAGTTGAAACAGTTTTTAGGATTTATATAACCCTTCATAAAAAATACATTGCAGTGGATGTGAATGACTAGTTTTTTTTTTGTTTTTTTGTTTTTTTTGAGACAAAGACTCGCTTTGTTGCCCAGGCTGGAGTGAGTGCCATGGCGTCAGCCTAGCTCACAGCAACCTCAAACTCCTGGACTCAAGCGATCCTGCTGCCTCAGCCTCCCGAGTAGCTGGGACTACAGGCATGCACCACCATGCCCGGCTAATTTTTTTTTTTTTTTTTTGAGACAGAGTCTCACTTTGTTGCCTAGGCTAGAGTGAGTGCCGTGGTGTCAGCCTAGCTCACAGCAACCTCAAACTCCTGGGCTCAAGCGATCCTTCTGTCTCAGCCTCCCAAGTAGCTGGGACTACAGGCATGAGCCACCATGCCGCTAATTTTTTCTGTATATATTCGTTGGCCAATTAGTTTCTTTCTATTTATAGTAGAGACGGGGTCTCGCTCTTGCTCAGGCTGGTTTCGAACTCCTGACCTCGAGCAATCCGCCCGCCTCGGCCCCCAGAGAGCTAGGATTACAGGCGTGAGCCACCGCGCCCGGCCTAATTTTTTTTTTTTTTATATATATATATTAGTTGGCCAATTAATTTCTTTCTATTTATAGTAGAGATGGGGTCTTGCTCTTGCTCAGGCTGGTTTCGAACTCCTGACCTCGAGCAATCCACCACCTCGGCTCCAGAGTGCTAGATTTAACAGGGCCATGAAGCCGGCTTAACCCCCGCTGACCGCCAGAATGACTAGTTTTGATCATTCAATTCTGCTATCCAAAGTGACTAACGGTGTCCTGGTGCTTACAGTTGATTTGCTGCAGCGTGTAGAGTCCTTGATCTTTTCTTTAAGCTCTCTTGGGGGTGTGCATAGACTCAGTTCATGTGGCCTTCCTTTTACTTTCCACTCACCAGTTTATTATCTTCTCTCATTCACCTTCGGAATAACAGCCCAAAAGTCAGAGTTAGCAGTAGCTTGGGGCAGCAGGGTCCCCCCATATCAAATCAGAGAGGAGACATTTGACCTTTTGTGGAAGCGATGTGAAGTTGATGTGCAGAGGCCTTCCCTGCCCTTCTTGGGTATCTGGTGGGCTAGGATTTCAAGGGCAGAGTGGACCAAACTTCAGGCCACTTCAGGTTTATATATTCTGTATGTGTGTGTGTGCATGTGTGTGTGTGTGTATATATATATATATATACTTTTTTTTTATATTATATATTCTTGTCTTTAGCAGCTCCTTGATGTTTAGAGATAGACTATTCAGAGGGAAAGTGTTTTAAACAGTATTTTGTTGAGAGAAAGACTGAGAAAAAAACAGTTGTCGCAGTTGGTATTTATGTCCAGGATTTCGCCTCCATGCTCATATTTGGAGTTGAAATATTCTTGACCTTTGGAAGATGAACCAGGTACCATAGGCCCAGTTCATTGGGGAGGCCCCAGGAAGGCCACGTATCCCAGTTCTGGTCATGTTGAAGGTAACAGGAGAAAGAGGAGTCTGGGGTGGGCAGGGTAAAGAGGCATAGCAAAATATATTTTTCTTTTAAAGTTTTGTGATCAGTAGAATACTATAAAGGACAGTCATAAATATGATAGTTGTCAGAGGGGACTGACTTTTTTGACCGATCATTTGTATTTTTATTTCTTACCCCTAGGGCCTGTTGGCCTCCATAGCCCATTGGCTGCTAAGGTCAGAAACACAGAGAGCTTTAGTGATTTGCCCAATGTGTAATGGGGAGCACCAATTAGAGCAGTTCTATCTCCTAAGTCAGTGTGCACATACTTAAGTGTTTGGGCACATGGAAAGCTGTCTGCTGTCCAGTCAGGAAAGTGTATGGGGCAAGGCTGCCTGCTAGGAACGCTGAGGCCCACTTTTTGCTAGAAAAGTGGTAATTACTCAAATAAGGTTTTTACTAGTAATGGCAATGTATGGAATTTCTTGTTTATCTTTATTTTACTTTTGCCTAAAATTTTAAAATTTTATAATGCTATCTTTTTTATTTAACAATCATGTCATTGCTGTTTTCTGTATTCAATGTTTACCATTTAAGGAACAGCAGCTAAAAAAGATCACTGCAAAACAAAAACGTCTCCAGGCCATCCTTGGAGGAACAGAGGTAAAAATTGAACTAGACCATGCCAGTCTGGAGGAGGAGGATGCAGGTGAGGATGCTGTGAGCAGTTTCTCTGTGTTCTTGAATCAATGCCTGATGCCTGTGGTCAGTCAAGGGTCTCTTTAGTCTTTGCCTGGGTTTTGAGAAAAATGCATTTTTGCCTTAGTATAAAAAAAGATTTAGGAAAATTGTATTCACTATACTTGGAGAACCAAATTCCTTTTTATAAAGAGAATGAAAATACATTTTTAAGTGGTGGTTCACGCCTGTAATCCTAGCACTCTGGGAGGCCGAGGCGGGAGGATCGCTAATGTCAGGAGTTCGAAACCAGCCTGAGCAACAGCGAGACCCCATCTCTACTAAAAATAGAAAGAAATTAATTGGCCAACTAAAAATATATAGAAAAAATTAGCTGGGCATGGTGGTGCATGCCTGTAGTCCTAGCAACTTGGGAGGCTGAGGCAGAAGGATCGCTTGAGCCCAGGAGTTTGAGGTTGCTGTGAGCTAGGCTGACGCCACAGTACTCTGGCCCAGGCAACAGAGTGAGACTCTGTCTCAAAAAAAAAAGTAAAGAAAAGAAAAGAAATTTTTAATTCAGTTCACTGGAGGCTGCTGGTGCACATTTATTATAACATTTAATAAATTTGAAATCTTAAACATTCTTAAATAGTTAATCTGATAAAGACAACTAACCTGATGATTAAATTACATGTTGGAAGCCCAGCCTCAATACACATTTGTAGAATTGATCTCACGTATCTTTAAGAACTGTATTTGGCAGGCTTTCCAAGCATCAGTTCTGTTGTTTAACAAAAGATATCTTCATTCAGGTTATACCATGGCCATGATTACATTTATATTACTGCCTTGGATGGTTGTTTTTTGGAAAACCTTTTGGGAAATTGCATAAGCTCTAGAACTAAATATCTTTGCAGTCATTGTGTGCATGCGCGTGTGTGTGTGTGTGTGTGTTTGTGTGTGTGTGTTTAGAAATTGTTGGTAGCTGCTTAGTCATTTACTACTTGAAATATAGATTAAGCCTTCTTAATATTTAAGTTCTACAAGCAATTATTTTCTACTAACTCCAGAAGTTTATTCAGTAAAATAAGAGAATTGTTATGAAGAATTAATTGAGGCAATACAGAAGTATGTGCTTTTAAAGTTCAGTCTCTCAGAATCCATTAGGCCTATGACAGTGCTTTCTGCTGCTGTGGTACCATATTTCTCATTGGTAATAGATGTTTGTTCCTGTCTGGCTATTGCAGACCTGCTGCTATCTTTCACCCTTGCTGCTACTTCGGTAAAACTTTTCCAGGGTTAATAGTTCACCTCCCCAAATCCAAAAGCCCCTTTTCACCCTTCCTCCATTTGGCCTGTCTCCAGCAGCTGATGCTTCCTATGCTTTCTGAGATTTCTGTCTGTCTCCTGGTTGTCCTCTCTCTGACTACTTTTGTTTAGTTATTTCTTGCTAGCTTTCTTGGCCTTATCTTAAATGCTAATGTTTCTCAGGATTTCTTGTTGAGCCCTCTTCTTGTTCTGCTATACCCATGACACCCCCCACTCCCAAATAATCTAATCCCCTGGTTTTGGCAGCCACCAAGGTTCTAGTGTCTTACAAATCTGTACACTTCTGGTTTTGCTCTTTTTATGAGCTCCTGGTTCCTGCTGTATCTCTTCATCTAGGCACCAGCCAACACTTGATACTCCTGGTCTCTCTTACTGCTCTCCCTCCTCCGTCCTGTCTGGGGAGGCAGTGGAGCAGAGTGCCTAAGAGCCCAGGCTTTGTGGGTTTAGCTCTGCATTGCCTAGGTAAGGACCTTGGCTATGTTCCCTACCTTTCTGTTTGAACCCAAACAATAGGCATAAGTGCAGTAGCCTCTGCTTCTCCTCTCCTCCTAGGAAGCCGCCTACTTTCCTGAGGTTTCCTTTCCCCTGGTCTCCATTTGGTGGTCCATTTTATGAGGTGGTGGTGAGGATTACCTAACAAAGAATCCTTTCTTGAAAGTAGGTGGGGTGAGGACAAATTATAAACAAAACAAAACTTTGACTTTGCCACTAAGATCTGGGAGAAGGTGAGGGTACTCACCATCACCATTCCTATTCAGCATTGTACTGGACAGTGTAATAATGGAAGAAAAGAAATAAAAAGCATAAGGATTGAAAAGAAGAAATAAAACCATCATTATTCACAGAATACATGATTGTTTATGTAGAAAATCCAAAAGAATCTGTGGACAATCTGTTGGAATTATTATGTGAATTTAGCAATATCATTGAATACCAGGTCAATATATAGAACTCAGTCATATTTCTATATGCCAGGAACAAAAATTTAATAGAGCTAGCAATACAATCAAAATCAAATACCTGAAAATAAATCTTAGCAAAAAATGTAGTTTTCTACAATGTTTTCTATATTAATAACTATAAAATGTTGAAACATTAAAGATCGAAATAAATGTGAGATACATTGTGATCACGGATTGGGAAATCTGGATTTGTCAGTGTGTCAGTTCTACCCAGCTACAGTTTCAGTGCAACCCTTAAATAAATTTCAAGGGTTTGTTTTGTTTTGTTTTGTTTTTTGAGGGGAAAGGCATAGGATAGAAAGTGTAGGGTAAGGATGGGGAAGGCATTAACAAGCTGACTCTACAATTTGTATGAAGATGCATTGGGCCAAAAATAGCCAAGGCAATCTTGAAGAAGAATAAAATATCAGGACCTATTTTAAGGCTATAGTAATTAAGATAGTGTGGTATTGGCATAAGGATAGACCAATGGACAGAATAGAAGGTTCAGCAAATAGACCCATCCACCCATGTATGTCGCTTGATTCATTACAAAGGTGGCAGGCAGTGCTGTGGAGAAGAGTGATCTTTTCATAAATGGTGCTGGGTTAGTCCACAGGAAAATAAAATTAATCTTGACCCATTACACTATGTACAAAAATAGACTCGGGATTATAGATTTAAATGTAAATAGTAAAACAAAGTTTTTAGAATATAACATAAGGAAAACATTTTCATGATCTTAGGATAGGCAAAAGACTTAAACAGGATACAAAATGCTCACTGTAAAGGAAAAGATTTGTTAAATGAGCTATATTAAAACTAAGAACTTCTGGCCAGGCGCGGTGGCTCACGCAGGCGCGGTGGCTCACGCCTGTAATCCTAGCTCTCTGGGAGGCCGAGGCGGGCGGATTGCTCGAGGTCGGGAGTTCAAAACCAGCCTGAGCAAGAGCGAGACCTCGTCTCTACTATAAATAGAAAGAAACTAATTGGCCAACTAATATATATAGAAAAAATTAGCCGGGCATGGTCGCTCATGCCTGTAGTCCCAGCTACTCGGGAGGCTGAGACAGAAGGATCGCTTGAGCCCAGGAGTTTGAAGTTGCTGTGAGCTAGGCTGACGCCATGGCACTCACTCTAGCCTAGGCAACAAAGCGAGACTCAGTTTTTTTTTTTTTTGAGACAAAGAACTTCTTTTTGAGTCTCACTCAATCACTCTAGGCAGAGTGCTGTGGCATCAGCCTAGCCCACAGCAACCTCAAACCCCTGGTCTCAAGTGGTTCTCCTGCCTCAATCTCCCAAATAGCTGGGATTACAGTCATGTGCACCATGCCCAGCTCATTTTTCTATTTTTTGTAGAGATGGGGTCTCACTCTTGCTTAGGCTGGTCTTGAACTCCTGAGCTCAAGCAGTCTTCCTGGTTTGGCCTCCTAGAGTGTTAGTATTACAGGCGTGATCCACTGTGCCCAGCCTAAACTAAGAACTTCTGTTTGTCAAAAGGTGTCATTTAGAGAGTGAAAAGCTTTGGAGTGGGAGAAGGTATTTGCAATACATGTATGAATCAAAGGACTCAAATCCAGAATGTATGAAAAACTAGAAATCTTTTTTTTTTTTTTTAAAGGCAGACTAAGAGAAAAATGGGCAAAGGACTTGAACATTTTCTGCACAAAAGAGGCTGTCCAAAAAATTGATGAATCTACAAAAGGCATGATATTTCATTAGTCATCAGGGAAATGCAAATTACAGCCACAATATGGTACCACTATACACCTACCATAATAGCTAAAAGGGAGTGGCAAGAATGTGGACCAGCTGGAACTCTCAAACACTCTTGGTGGAACTTTGGTGCCACTTTGGTACCACTTTGGAAAATGGGCAATGTCTGCAAAGCTTAACATAACCAAAGAATTATATATATTACCAAAGGATGTGTACCAGAATATTCATAGCAACATTATTCTTAGTAGCCAAAATCTGGAAGTCACCCAAATGTCCATTAAAAGTGATATGAAAAAATTGTAGTATAGTCATATAATAATATACCAACAGTAGTGAGAATTTACAAACTGCAACTCCATTCAACAATAAGTATGTAGCTCACAAGCATGATGTTGAGCAAAAGACGGTGGCCACAAGAGCACTGACATTTCCATTTATATCGAGTTCTGAGCCCAATACAACTCAAATACAGTGTCAGGAGTCAGGTCCATCATTATCTTGGGGGTGAGTAGAGGCTGGGAGGTAGCCCAAGGGCACGTCTGGGGTTGCTAGTAATTTCCATTACTTGATCTGGGTGCTAGTTTATGTGTTTTTCTCTCAGTATTCATTGGCTACTTATGATTGGTGTACTTTCTGATGTATATTTTATTTCAGTGCAGGCTTAATGGAATACTGGCTGTAGTATCATTGGCCTGTAAGAATTGTATATTTTAGAATATGGATTCCTTCTTAAGTATTAGATCTTTTGGTATTTCAGCTACATGGTAAAGTAATTTTGCCAGAGGTTAATTTCAGCTATTGAAAGGGGGATGATTTCTGGGTAGCTTTACACTTATTATGGCATAACTTCCAATTTTAGTTCCATCTCTTGAAGTCAGTTAACTTCATATATCTAACACAGTGCTGTGCAGTAGACCTTTTTGCAGTGATGGAAATGTTCTTCATCTGTGTTGTCCATTGTGGTAGCCATTTCTTGTAGCTATTGAGCACTTGAAATATGGCCAAGTGTAACTGTGGAACTGAGTTTTTAACTTAATTTAAATTGAAATAGCCATAGGTGACTGGTAACTACCATGTTTAGCAATATAGAGCTAATATTTATGTTCTTCTTGTTTAGGTACATTTTGATCCTTTAGATATCTGTTTTTAGTTTTTTGTTTTGTTTTGTTTTGTTTTTAAGACAGAGTCTCACTCTGTTGCCCTGGCTAGAATGCCATGGCATCACCTTAGCTCACAGCAACCTCAAACTCCTGGTGGGCTCAAGTGATCCTCCTGCCTCAGCCTCCCGAGTAGCTGGTACTACAGGCATGTACCATTATACCAGGCTAATTTTTTCTATATTTTTAGTTGTTTGGCAAATTTCTTTCTATTTATAGTAAAGATAGGGTCATGCTCTTGCTCAGGCTGCTGTCAAATTCTTGAGCTCAAAGGGTCTGCCCGCCTTGGCCTCCCAGAGTGCTATTGTAGGCATGAGCTACCGCGCCTAGCCTGTTTTTAGTTTTATTATCTATTGAATTTAAGTCCACCTTAATGTTGGTGTTAGCAATGACATGGAAACTTGGGAGATTGCTTCCTCACAGGCTACTCCTCAGTTGATAAGGAAACACAGCTAAATTTATCTATTTATCACTGTTTAATTTATATAGTAATAGGTCTATCCTTAGATGCACTCTATTTATAGTGTGATATTTTGGAGACAAGTTACTGAGAAATCACCTTTTTGAATAGGAATATATTAAATATGGCATGATTAATGCTATAATAAATTTTATTCTCTACGTATAATATGCTTTAGTACATCGATGATGTGTTTTCTACAAGTTATTTATAGGTGTCTACTGTTTATCGAATAAGTGAATATTTCCGTTGTACTCTTAGAAAGTTTATTCTAGCGCCAAATGCATTGTTGTTACTCTTTCAGAAGCTGGGCCATCCTGTCTTGGCAGCATGCTTATGCCTGTCCAGGAGACTGCCTGGGAAGAGCTCATCCGCACTGGCCAGATGACACCTTTTGGTACTCAGATCCCTCAGAAACAGGAGAAAAAGCCTAGAAAAATAATGCTTAATGAAGAATCAGGCTTTGAAAAGTATTTGGCAGATCAAGCAAAGCTGTCTTTTGAAAGGAAAAAGCAGCAAGCTTATAATAAAAGAACAGCTAGAAAAGCTCCAACTTCAGTCACACCTGAGTTGAACCCAACAGAAAATGACAACAAACCAAACAAGAAAACCAAAGTTCTTTCTAAAACAGATAAGCGCTTGAAAAAGCACATAAAGAAACTCCAGAAGAGGGCTCTGCAGTTCCAGGGGAAAGTGGGATTGCCAAGGGGAAAGAAACCCTGGGAGTCAGATGTGAGGCCAAAGGCAGAGGGGGACTCTGAGAGTGAAGAGTCCGAGTACTTGCCCACCGAGGAGGAGGATGATGACGAGGCAGATTGGGCAGGGGCAGACCTGTCCAGAGATGGCACTGACTATGAGCTGAGGCCTGTGCTCAAGGGCCAGAAACGGCAGAAGAAAGTTTCTGTGCAGGAGATTGATGACGACTTTTTCCCAAGTTCTGGTGAAGAATCTGAAGCCACAGGAGGAGGAGGAGGAGGAGGCGGAGCAGGTCGGAAAGTAGCGAGATGCCGAGACGATGGAGATGAAGATTATTATAAGCAGCGGTTAAGGTCAGTCTGCTGGGATTGTAAACAGATCGCACTGCTTACTTTATTTGAGGCAGTGGGCTTGTTAATACTTAGGCAGTCTAGATCCAGCTTAATATGTTAGACCTCTCTTCAGGCAGAGGTTGGACTTCCTATAGCATTAGCCTGCTAGAACCAGTGAGGACCCTGCGCTCTTAATAGAGCTGGCCCCAAATGCTTGTGCATCTGGGTCTTTATATGGATTTGAAGGTAAATGTAAGATGGAAAGCGTAAGGGGAGGCTGGGGCAAGGTGCATACAGAGGACTGAGCATCAGCTGTGTGGCCTTCACACCCAGAGTTAAGTGTCACCTTGGACACTTGTAGCTACTACTACAGCTATGTAGTAGTACATAGTTGAGGAGTGGCTTTTATTTGTCATTTCTTGCTGAAACTTTAATCCCTGTGCATATTTAATTTCTGTGAAGTTATTTGAGGAATATCACTGGATACTCCTGAAAAGTGAGCAGTGTCAGTCTTTTTCATAACTACTGTAGAGAATTAATATAAGTGTTAGTCTCAACATATTGATTATAAATGGAGCAGTATATAGTCTTCCTATTAAATTGGATCAATATTAAATATGTTTTAAATATATCATTTTGATCAAGAGCAATTTATTTTGATGGAATTTTAAATGTGGGTTTAGTTTAATTTCATGGCAGTAAGTTTTTCTTAATAATGTTAAGATTGTAAAACAATTTATTATTTCCAAAGCCAGATCATAAGCCAATATTTTGCTAAAGTTAGAGTAAAATCTCAAATGAATTTTAGAAATATCAATAAATCTTAATTGCCACCAAAATACGATAGCTCTTAAAATTTTATAGCTATAGTTATTAAAGCTGTTAAAGTGCAAATATCCACATTGAAATGTTTGTATTACATTTCCTTTGGTGCTCTTTGGATTGGGGGATGTTAAAAGAAAATGCTCAGGATTGAGAAGCATATTAAGAACATTTTAGAACTGCCAGTCACTATATTTTGTTACTTGTTGTTGATCTTTGTAGATGGGCTGGAATTGTAATGTGTTCCCTTGAGGAAAGAAGAAGACTTTTAGGATTGCTTGTCTTAGTAATGGTTTGATGGTGGATGATCAGAATAAAGTTAGAAAAACATAGAAAATGAGTTAGAATTTAGGAATTGTACCCAGGCTAGATGCCTTTTACTGAGGTTACAGCCTGTTAGTTATAATGCTCTTTTAAACTTGTGGGAGTGAGAATGGGTGACTCCTAGATATCCCATCTCCTTTATTCTCTCATCTTGAGAATCATAAGCCTTGTATTAGCTCTGGGTTTGTCCTAACTAGTGTCTTTGATGCTCAGTGGGAATTTCCTACCAAGCCTTTTCTACCTTTCCTGGAGCTGGGCAGTAGCACTCAGGATCCTGCTTTCTTTGTTTTGGCCCATGACCTCAGCTCAATCTTCGATGTTTTAACCATTTTTTAAACTGTATTTTCCCTCCCCACATGTTTATCTTGCCTTCTTCTGTGTACACCTTGGGTGTGGAGCATGGCTTCTCAGTTGATGTTCCTTGACTTTCATATCCTTTCGTGTCACACAGCATAGGTGAGACACTGCTGAGAAGTAAATGTTCTGTCGGTTCTTATTCATTCTTGTCAGTTGTATTCAGGTCTTAGAAAACATACATTTTTTCATTTTAATTTTGTGCTACCAGAGTTTCCATTACGGTATGGCTCTTGATTGTGGGGTTTAGTGCTTTTTAAAAATACATTGCTGCATTAGAAATTGCAGGCCCGGGAGCTCAAGGAGCCAAATAAAGACTTAATAGAACTAACACACCTTCAGTGTTTGAGTGATGAGTGTTCCTGGTGAGCACCTGCATGCCACTTACCTAGTCCTGGCTGTGCAGCCAGAGTGCGCAGGAGACCAGACACTTCATGTGCACCTTTCCCCTTCAGGGTGGTCAAGATCAGAGCGCTTGTCCCCCACTCCTTGTCACCTTGGTGTTGTTGATTGACTTCCCAGTTGACACATATGTGAGGTCAACTCTGGTCACTTCATCTTTGCTTCCACAGCAGGAGTGCATGGAACCAGGGTGGCTTCAAGACTTTACGGCAAAGAATTTGCAGTCTGTTAGTGAACATGGATACAAATAGGACCTAGCCAAGTGTGAAGGGAATAATGAATTCAGACTGAGATGTTTGAGGGAGACTGTGGAGGAAGTTCACACAGTGCAGGGCCTTGTCTACTGGGTAGCTCAGATTGATAGGGTTGACACGGACCTTATGATGTGAGTTAAAAGCTTTGCTCATTTGCCCCAAAACTCTGGGTGCATCATTGAGAAGGAAGGAACTGCTTAGGTTTGGAGGCACATTATTTCCTCAGGAGCTCTGATTGCCTTGGAGATTGGTGTGGTGGCCGTGATGTGCAGAGAGGCCCCGTTTCTAAGCTTTCCCCATTAGGACACGGAGGGCATGTGGGTTTCACCTCACCAGCCAGCTGTGACCTCTGGGGAGTCTTTTCAGGGGGAGATTGAGGCTCTGTTTGGGAAGACTGGGAAGGTCTGCTACAGGCCCTTCAAGATGTCTGTCTTGGGCATAGAGTGGGAGGACCAGCAGCATTCATGCCAGGCAATTGCCAGACCTGAGAAAGTAAAACAAAAAATGTCCCCTACTCTCCCTACTCTGGCCTCTTTCCCCAGCAGTGGCCAGCACTGCCTGGTCAGGTTGTGGGACATAGATCAGATTGCATCCTGAGTGAGAGGTCACACTTGCAAAGAAGTTTTGTCTCTCCTCACTAAGGTTAGCATTTATCATTTGACTTAAACCCGTTCCCCAGGCTCCTTTTTCCATTTGCCAGTGGTTATTGTTTAAGTTGCGAACCTCACAGCCTGTATGTACTTCCTTGGCAACGAGCACAGACTAAAGCTGAGCTTCCAGCCCACAGGCTGACACTGTAGAACCACTGGGGACCTCACTGCTGGGATGCTAGCGTGGGGGCTAGAGGGCAGTACTTGTAAAAAGCTTTCTCAGGTGATTCTGATGTATTGGCAGAAACTGTTGGATGTGTGTGAGTAGATCTTAAATAATTTTCCTTTCTGAGGCCGTAGTTTTTGGCCGATTCTGTTCATGTGTCAGTTTATGTGTTCTAGACTTCTCTTCTATTGCCCTGCACAATTGTGTTTACACGGGGGGGGGGGGCAGGAGGGGAGCCTCAGCTAGGTGCTGTATGCCATGGATGGTCTGGTTTTTCTCAAGCGTCTGCATCAGACTTGCTCAGGGAGCATCTGCAGCATGCAAGTGCCTGGGCTCCGCCTGGACCGCTGGAGGTGCAGTCAGGGTCGGGAGAAGTCAGGCACGGAACTTGTGCTTTGACTGAGCTCCCGTCATCCGCCTGACGCTCTCCGCTGGCATTCTCGCGCCGACTAAGCCCTTGTTTGGAAAGAACTATGTTCCCATTTAGGAGGCCTTTGGGGTGGCTCAAAGAATTGTTGGTAAGGATGTTGGGGTTTGAGAACGTAATGCTTTTTTCTCTGCTCCGCCCAAGTCAGCCAATAAGCCTCTGGATAAATCCAATACTCCACCAAATCAGTAACAACGGCGAGAGTTGAGAAGCAGACTCTTCAGTAGGTGGGCTGAGTCTCTCAGTGCCTGGCCGGTGGGATACGAGCTGCCTGAGACATCAGCCTGAATACGATTGGGGTTGGACCCTGAACTGCTTGCCAGGCTCCCCAACCCCCCCTTAGCATTTCTGATGATTCCCTGTTTTTTTTTTTTTTTTTTTTTTTGAGGCAGTCTCAACTCAGTCCCGTAGCCAAGCTCACAGCACCCAAACTCCTGGGCCTCAAGTGATCCTCGCTGCTCCAGCCTCCGCCATTCGTGCTTGGGTACACAGGCATCTGCCCACATGCCGCGCATCGTACTCACCCACCCCACCACATACACACACCCCACACACATATCCCCACTATTGTCTGCTATATATTAGTATCGTTTTACGTTGCCCAGCTAGTTTATTTCTATTTTTTTTTTTTTTTAGTAGAGACACGGGTATCGCTCTTGTGTCAGGCTGGTCTCCGAACTCTCGAACTCAAAGTGATCTCACCGCTCTGCTCCCAGAGTACTAGGATTACAGGCGTAAGCCTCTGTGCCCGGCCTGATTCCCTGTTTTTTTGACTGTGAAAATATGATAATACTAAGACTAAAAACTACCTCTATTTTTTATGTTTCTCTGTGGCATTCCAGTCTTTGATCCTGTGCATACATAGTTACTTACATTACAAATCCGATGGCCCTGGCCGGCGCCTGCGTGGCTCACGCCTGTAATCTACTCTTGGGAGGCCGAGGCGGGCGGATTGCTCAAGGTCAGGAGTTCAAACCATGAGCAAGAGCGGAGACCCGCTCTCCTCATAAATAGAAAGAAATTAATTGGCCAACTGTATATATAAAAAAATTTAGCCGGCATGGTGGCGCATGCCTGTAGTCCCAGCTACTCGGGAGGCTTGAGGCAGGAGGATCGCTTGAGCCCAGGAATTTGAGGTGCTGTGCTAGGCTCGACGCCACGGCACTCACTCTAGCCTGGAAAACACAGCGAGACTCTGTCTCAAAAAAAAAAAAAAAAAAAAATCATGGCTTTCGTTAATCAGCATGCCCACCCTCTCACTGTTTTTTTGTTTTGTTTTGTTTTCAAAACAGAGTCTTGGTGGCGTCAGCCTAGCTCACAGCAACCTCAAACTCTTGGGCTCAAGTGGTCCTTCTGCTTCAGTCTCCCAAGTAGTTGGGATTATAGGCATGTGCCATGACGCTTGGCTAACTAGGTTTTTTCTATTTTTAGTAGAACCAGGGTCTCACTGTAGCTCAAGCAGTCCTCCCACCTTGGCCATCCAGAGTGCTAGGATTACAGGTGTGAGTCTCCCCGCCTGCCCCCATCTCACTGTTAAGAGGTAGAGCTGAGCTTGAAGTGGGGCAGGGCTGTGTGAATGTGTTTCTTTCCATTTGTGGGATTGAGTGGAAGGTGCAGTATCT